GGAGGGGCATACAAAAAAAATTGTATTTCAATGTTTTAATGATTGACGAATGATGAAATATTTGTGTTTTTTTTAAAGAAATAAAACCTTTTATATAAAAAAAACAGAAAATATGCATCTTCACCATGATCCCAGTCTCACCATTTCTGAATGTTGGAAAATAAATATCGTAAACAACAACAAAGAGAACTACAGAAGGTCAAAAAATTTGCTACTTGGCCTGGATAAGATTATTTGATTTATACCTTTTGCAGGCAACGAGATGCACATGCAGAAACCATAGTTAGTGATGTATCAGCATTTGTATCTACTGCCCGGACAGTGACTGCCACATCTTGAACTGGATAGCCCATAAGTGGTCCTACAAAATGAAGTATCAGTAACAATTTTACATTGAATCAATCATAGATAACAATTCAACCTGTTCAGATGGCCTCATCCTGTTTCTTTTCAAAGGTATTTTGCAGATTGCAGAGTAAACATCTCAAGGCCAGTCACTTTACTAATAAAAACAGCGAAAAGCTGCAGCTATTCTCTCTAGCAGTTTCGTTCATTTGCATCTTCAGTTAAAAAAAAGGAAAGGAGGACAGATGCTAATTTCTACCTGACAGCCTTGCTCTTTTGTAGGCAACAAATGTCTACTTCTTCAAAAAATTCCAATATGAGACTTTCAAAACAGTTGCTGAAATAACTCTTTACCTTGAAGGTATGAGGTTGAAATTCCATTTTCTATAGCTTCACGAAGGTCAGGGTAAAGTAAGTCGTTGATACTTTCACCATACTCAATGACTGGTGCTGTTGCTGGCATCTCTCCCTCCCATGGCTTAATTCCCAATTCAACCGTCACTCGATGTCGTTTTTCTCCTATTGTCCTGTCTAGTGTATCTGTAATGAAATCAAGTAACATATCAAGCACGAAGTTCAAGCCATCAAATTAGCATAGTGTTTACTAGCCACCAGTTTTAAGTCCTTCATTTGCAGTTCTATGACATTTAATGTACCTGCAGCTTCAACTGAATTTTGGATTGTTTCTCGATAAGCAACCTGAAGAGGTCCAAGGTAAGTCTCCAGTTTGTATTCGCGTTTGATTCGGTCATGAATGATGTCAATGTGTAGTTCTCCCATGCCACAAAGAATTGTCTAGCAAAAATATTCATAAAAGTAGCATCATCAAAGCATGGCATATACTGATTACTTTTCAAAGTGATTTTAAAACCAGGCAGACGAGAGAGGAGTGCAATACAGACAGCAAAATGCATTTGGCAGTGAATTTGAGCTAAACAGTGTCTATCCGTTTTTCATAGATTTCCTTCTTTCATAGCAGATTTTCTGGAAATAATTACAGCTGCAATGGGAAAATAATTTGGGAACCTCCTTCTCCCCGCCAGTTACATAAGCCAATATGGATACCAGTATAAATACGAACAATGAGTTATAAATGTTAGAAACTCTGCAGCTGGAGATGAAACTTTTGCTCCTTCCAAAGTCTGCAGGAAATGCAAATGTCGCGATGTCACCAGGAGCACATAAATCCTATTTTGGGATGGTGGTGGATGGGATATAAAATAGACACAGAAAAACAGCAGAAAATAATAACATTGGTTCATTCATTCATATTTCCACATTGTCCATCTCACTTAAATGATTCTGGGCAGTTTACAATTTTTTTAAAAAGATGCTTTGTATTTCAGCAAAAGTTATTTCGTTGATTTCAGCAGTGTCAGCTGAAAGGTAGTGCCACCATAAAAAAGGAGAAGGGGTCTACACAGGATTCATGCTTCACTGCCTTAGAGCATAGCAGTAAGGATTCATGCTTCACTGCCTTAGAGCATAGCAGTAAGTTTAATAATAGTACCGTGTTTCTCCTAAAATAAGACAGGGTCTTATTTTCTTTTGACACCCACCCCCCCAAAATAAATACTTGGCCTTAATTTTCGGGGAGATCTTATTATTTTTGAGATGCAAGCATGGACACCTCATGGCTGCTGCTATGTTGCAATATTTGGGGGGGGGGGGTAAAAGTTTTTTTTATTTTTATTTTCAAAACAAACACAACACATAAAATCTTCCTTTTTTACATACTGTAGAAAGTGTATCAGTTGGTTACAAAAGACTTTCGTGCATCTCTTCCACAGTCATCAAACATAATTCATATTAACTAAAGTATTTTAACTCAGATATTTATACATGTTACCATCATCATACCTCCATTTTCATGTGACTATAGTTGTTTAAACGTCCTTCATCATAAAATATACCAAAATTTAATACATTACCACATACTGACATTTCATTTGCTATTTCTAAAATCCTCCAATGACACTAAATCCTTATATCCTATTATCCTATTCTAGCTAAACATCCATAATATTTAATAACAAAGTTTTCTATCCTTCTTTCCAAATCACTGTTTACAATTTACATCTCATTTCCTTATATTGTACATATATACATATATGTATGTATGTATGTATGTATGTATGTATGTATGTATGTATGTATATATGTGTATATGTGTGTGTGTGTGTGTATATACACACACACACACACACACACACACACACACACACCACCACACACGTTATTATCATTATCTAGGGAGGGCTTATTTTTGCGCATGTGCTCAAAAGCCTGATTGGGCTTATTATCTAGGGAGGGCTTATTTTTGCGCATGTGCTCAAAAGCCTGATTGGGCTTATTATCTAGGGAGGTCTTATTTTAAGGGAACAGGGTAACATTGTAAACCTTACCTGCCCCGTATTGGCATCAATCTTAACTTTCAGACTTGGATCTTCACGCTGCAGACAAATCAATGCTTGATCTAGATCTGGAGCAAATAATTGATTAGAATAGATACAGAGAACATAACTGTGGTCCTCTTCTTCTGTACTGCAGTTTCCCAGGGCCTTAGCAAGGGTCACTGGTGAGGAATCCTGGCATGAAGTTCTACAGTACTCTAGTGAAACTGACTCTTGTGCCCTCGGGGAGAATAATAGCAGTAAGAAGTGACAACTCTCAAGAAAAGATGTGATATTACCCATAAGTTATTCAACTCTTCCAAAGTTAATGTAGCAGCATGCTAGACCGGGGTTTCCTAGCCAGACCAATAATTAACAATTTTAATTCTATTCTTTTAAAATATTTTGATTTCCAAACTACAGGCCAAAACCTGCATAGAAGGGAAGACAATGTTTCAAAATTTAAGAGAGTGAAAAGCAGGCCAGGGAGAAAAAGCTACATTAGGCTTATCTCTTCCATTGTTTCTCTCTCTCCTCTTTTTAAAAACCATGAAGCTGTTCTGTCAATCATTACTTAAAAAACGGTGTCTAAGATTTTTATTCCTCCTTGCCCTTTTCTTCTTCATCGGGAAAAAATAAGGGACTCTCACACTCCTGATCTTCATCTCCTCATCTCTTAGTTCCAAAAAGTCTTTCGACCAACACAGACAGTTGCTGACTATGATCACCTCGGATGTGCAATGCGATTACAGTGACCTTTGGATATTTATCCTAAAATCTGAATTAATGAGTTTACCTGCTAAGCTAGAGACCCATAACAGGATCGTATTCCTTCTCAAATTATCTCACAATTGAAGGCATGGTCTAGATAAGAATACTAGTCAACTGTAATATATTTTTGTGCCTATTAATAAATAACAAATCATCCCATTTCTTTAGGGCCATGGAAAGGTTACAAGCACAACTCTCCTATTTCAGAAACTGAATTGTACCTGGTTGTTTGGCCATGGAAGGTGGCTCTATGGTACAAAAGAAGACCGGTTCTGGAATCTCAATGCCAGCTAACAGGAGGTTCTGTACTTCTTTAGCTTGACCACGTGCTGATTCCACGTTTCTTCCAGCTCGACGAGCTGCAGCCATTGCAGACGCTTTTGAAGTAACAATGGTGTCGCCAGTGGCACTCTAATGCAAGCCAAATAACAAAATGCATGGTGAATGGCCAGCACACAATTGGTTTCCATCATTAAAAAACACTGAATGTTAATTGGCTGTCCAGCATTGTTTTTTCCCAATTAAAGGACAAGGACATCCAATCCTTTGTTTTGCAGCTACAATAATTATTTTTTAGACAATAAAAGCACTTTTTGAAAAATGGAAGAAAATTTTTATGAAGATTTGCACGTATTATTCCTCTCTAGAAAAATAAATGTCGAATGCTGTTCCATGTATGGTTAGACATTTTCTATAGCCTCAAAAGAATATAAGCCAAAGAATATGGGAGCTGCAGTCTTCATACATTTGAAGGGCATCACATTCAGGAAATCTTGATTAGACTATTTTGCAAAGTTAAAGGTGAAAATTCCCTTCGCACATATGTGCTAGTCGTTCCCGACTCTAGGGGGCGGTGCTCATCTCTGTTTCAAAGCCGAAGAGCCAGCGTTGTCCAAAGATGTCTCCGTGGTCATGCGGCCGGCATGACTAACCGCCAAGGGCGCATGGAACGCTGTTACCTCCCCACCTAAGGTGGTTCCTATTTTTCTACTTGCATTTTTACATGCTTTCGAATGCTAGGTTGGCAGAAGCTGGGACAAGTAATGGGAGCTCACTCCGTTATGCGGCACTAGGGATTCGAACCGCTGGACTGCCAACCTTTCTGATCGACAAGCTCAGTGTCTTAGCCACTGAGCCATCGCGTCCCAAGGTTGCAAGGTTACCTATGAGAAAACTTAAATCAGCAA